TTTCGGGGGTGATTTTCAAAGTTTGACTGTCTTGGGAAGTGATTGAATTAATGATCCCGTCACCTGATTCAGAAGCCCTGGTACCGTCACCACATATCGCCCGACAGAGAAGCAGAGACGCCGAGACTACGACGGCAAATTCGATCCAGCTTCCTTAATGGCTTTCGTATCAACGGCGTCGTTTCCTAGTGTGGTGAGTACATGTGGATGATATCGTCGCAGTCAGTCAGAGTCAAGGTGGAACGTGCCCACCACCGAGCGCATTCTCTACCTACCGTGGCTGCCTTCAGGAGTAAGTAACTAGGGCTTAGAAAATGTCGCGAACTGCCTCTCTCACGCCTCCTGGCACCGCCCAGCTGAATGACTACGATATCAACTGTAAATTTGATTTGCCTCACGAAGTCTACCAGTAGAGAAGAAGTAGTCAGCAAACAGACATCTGAATGTTTCAGATCAATATTTCACGAGGATTCACCACGAATCTTCTTTTCCGACAACCGCGCAAGGTAGCTATTCTAGTGGCTTTGCCTTCCTTCGATAACTCTTCCTATGCAAGTTTGGCTACCAGAAGAGATGCAAGGAAAGCCGTGGTTTTCACCTACATGAACAGGTATAGTCTGCTACGATAATAAAAATTGACCAATTGGTGAGGCGGACTGGTACGTGTCGTCTTACCATGCGTACGGTCCTGGGTTCAAATCTCGGATCGACTCCGGCCAAACAAGTCTTCTACCTTCTGGTGCAAATGGTACTAGATTTCTGGGGAACAAGAACACTGACCTGTGCATCGCCCCCCCCCCCGACACCAAGGCACTACGATTTTGAATGGCGTACCGCTTCCTAGAAAGGGGTTCATTACGGGAAAGGCTTTATCCTTTCATCCTTTCACACATTTAATCGCAGAATTTCCGAAATTTTCAGAAACCTGGACGTGGCTGACGAAATTATGAAGCAGTTCAATGTTAAATCTGATAATGTTCCTCAAATACTTCTATTGGATAAGGTTAGCATCCCTTTAAAATATTCTGAAAATAGTTTTTCTGAGAAAAGCTCTTTTCAGCTACATGT